GTGCGTGTTGAGGTGGCGGGCGCGGGGGTGGTGCTGCGCCCCAGCCTCCCCGGGCAGCCTGGCTCGGCAGGACGCCGGCTGTGTGGCAGCGTGTCCTGTCCGCTGCCCAGAGCACGGCAGTCGAGACCCTGCTCGGGCGCTGCCCTGCGCCGCTTTCCCTTCCTCTTGCGTTTGGCACCTTGGCTGACAGAGCCCACCCCCGGCTGGAGGGCGTAAAGAGAGCTTGCGTGGAGAGCCCCAGTGCCAACACGTGTTAGTTTTTGCTTTCTAAAATACGGCCTGAAATTGCCGAGTGCCAGTAGTCAGTGCCCTGGTGACTCATGAGGTTTTCTGTAACGCTGCGATAGTTCGCATCGCTGCGGGGACCTGATAACTGAATCATGGATTTCCTCGAGCTCGCTGGTCCTGGCCAGTTTCAGAGAGCTGTAACAGGCATATCCAAAAGCACAGGTGGAGATACGATGCTGATGCGGGTTTTTTCCTCCCGTAGCCTTGTTCTTGCCCCCTACCACTATCCCTGCCTTCTTGTGGCAACAAAACATGAAGATTCCCATCAACATTGCCGGTGCAGGCAGAGGTCGTAGGTACGGTTTGATAAAGGTGACAGGGGATTGGTTTTTCCTCATGTGAGTCTAGTGATGTTATGTTTGTGCACTTTGGATTATTACAGCAGTAACTTTGGCGTTACATATTTATAGTTAGGGTTGCTCATTGCCTCACACCTGGCTGGTCACAGTTATCCCACCACTATTCCAAAACTTTTTTTTTTTTTTTGCTGGAGTCTTCCAGTGGACAAGTCAGCTGTCTGTTTTGGACTGAAGATTTGGGGGTCGGTCGGTAGGTTGTTTTAGCAGTTGAGCAAAAATTTTTCATCTTCTTCCTGGAATCAGGTTAAAGGTTTCTTTGGCAGCCAAATTTTCACTCTTCCTGACATGCACCAGCCCTCCCAGTAGCAAGGATTTACTGGGGCCTCAGTGCTACAGCACAGTGTTGAGGATCCACCTGGGAGTTTGAAACAGATGCTTTGCTCAGATGCCGAGATGTCAGGGTTGAAGTGGGGAAGGGCAAGAGCAGAGATTTTGTGGGTTGTAACTGTGAGAAGGATGGACAAGGAAACTGGGAACAGAGGTGTGAACAAAAGAACTTAGTTATTTCCGGAGCGTATTCCCCTGCAGAAGCCAGAACTGATCTTGGTGTGCTGACATGCTTGGTGGTCCTCTGCCACCTGCTTGGGAAACACGTGTGAAACTCACAGACAAAGCGTGTTTCGTCTCCCTCTGGCAGTCCTGCACGAAGGATGCTGGCTTATTCTGCAGCTACACCATACCCCGCTGGCTCAGAGATGTGTGCTGCGGTAGGTCCTAGGATCCCAGTCCCGCCTGTGATGCATGAAGGCTGATATGGTGTCAAGCAACAGAATTTCTCTGTCCTCAGTTTTTGGTTTCTTAAAACTTCTCGAAAGTTGGACAGAAAGAGTAGCGAAATGACAAATTAGGTGCTTGGAAGTTAGAAATGATGTTATCTGTATAGCCCAATGCAGTTCACTTCCGCGGAGGGATTACAATAAAGTTTCACTGTACATGTTTAATTGTTGGAGGTGAACTATGTAACAGCATTGGGTTGCTGTAATGAACTGGGCTGTTGGTCATCCGATTACTTATCGGATGTTTTGCATAACTTTAGAGCTAAAGCAAACAGGGCTGGGACCGCAGGCAGGGGAGGGACAGAGTAGTTATCGAAAATCAGATCGCACCCGTTGTCTCTTGAGATGCTGAGAGTTTGTAGTTGAAACGCCAGTCCCGGGGAATGCAGCGATGTACCTGCCAGGGGCTGTTAGCAGTGCCAGGTTGCCACAAGTATTTGGCATCTCAAACTGGGCACACCGGACTCGCCAGAACTCTTGATCCTTCTGGTCTTAACCTCTCTGGGTGTGAAAGGTGAAAAATGGTGTCGCTTGACCTGCTTGGAATATGGTGGGCACTGTATTGGCTCACACTGCGGGAGGGAAAAACAGACCTTCGGAAAGAGTAATTATGTACTCAGTTCATGTTTGTAGGGTTCAGATACTGAATGGTGAGGATAAAAAGAAACAAATTCTTCAGGTGAGCGCTGGATACTGTGTCAATCTGGTGGTGGGGGTGGGGGGAAGAAAAGCAGCAAAACCCTCATCCTGCCAAGGCACAAAGGGCGCTTTGTAAGCACCTTGGCACACCTTTAATTTGAGTAGTTTCTGAGTGTTGTAATTGTTACTCTAGCAGTCTTTGGTGCTCTTTTTTTAATTTTTTTTTACCTGAAATAGATCCAGGCTTTTTTAGTTTAAAAAAAAGAAAAAAAATGTTCTAACACTGCAAAATGCAGTTTAGTTTTGGAGGAGCAGCAGAGATAAATTGGAGAGTAGTCCAAGACTGATGTTCCTTCATGTTTTAAAATGCTTTACATATTTCAGTCCTTGTTTGTTTGGGTTTTTTATTTTTCTCTTTTTAGTACAAAATCAGTTGCTACGTTGGAATTGACTCCAGATACAAACCCACTACTACTTTGTTTTGTGGTTTTTCTTTATTTTCATAGCAATAATTGCTGATGTAGGTTTTGGGTTTGTGATGCTTAAGAAGGATTCTCCTTTTCTCTTGCTGTTATCTGCTCTACCAGTTCTGCAATAAACGCTGTGTGTTGGTCTTTATTAATGTAGAGGTAGGATTGTGACTTCAAGTGGAGCGTTTTGATTGAGAAAGAGAGAAGAGCATTTCTACAGGAGAAGCTGGAGTTCTCTGCTGTCTCTAGGTCCTCAGCTGCAGGATGACCGAGACAGATTTATGTGCCTGCACAGTGTTTTCCCGTGAAAGATTCTTCTGCAAAGAAACTTCCTTAAAACGTAATTCTTAAATGTGCTATATACTAGGTGTAGTACCGTAGTTTAATTTAGAAACGAAAAGGTGAAAACCTGAGTTATGGAAGACCCGATTGTGAAATGTCATTGAGAGCAAATGGCTCAGAAGTGTAATACTAAAGGAATACTTTTCCTTCATAGTTTTATTAATACGTATTATGATAGAAATTCTACCTGGTAAGGTTTTCTTTTCTTGCTTTGCAGCTTGGCACTGCAATTGGATTTTTGTTGCCACCTGTTTTGGTTCCAAATACACCTGACGATATTGATCTAATGGCACATAACATCAGCATCATGTTCTACGGAACAGCAATAGTGTCCACACTTTTGTTCTTCTTAGCAGGAGTTGGTAAGTGTTCCGTTCTTGTAATTTGAATGGTGACCACAGGGACTGTTTACAACATCCCACTTCAAGCATCTGACTTTGCTCAAAGTAGGCGAGGTTACATTTTTCTCAGGTTTGCTTGAGTTCACTGATCTGCTGTGCCAGGTTGAAGCAACAAGCGCTTTATGTATGTTGTGCTTCACGTGGGGTGACCTCTGTCAGGATACGCAGGTCACTTCGGTTGTTGGCTGCAAGGACGTTATGATGTCATGTGAATTCTTTCTGTTACTCTTACAATTCAGATGCAAAGGTCTAGACACAATGCAGATGAAGTCTGTCTTTGACCATAAGTTGGTAGCAATCAGCTGTGACCAAATAATTAGTACATCCTTTGTGGCTGTGACTTGATTCTTCCATGAGAAAATCTAGAATATTTTTTTCATGGCAGTGTTAAAAACCACAGGTTAATCTTCTGAAGTTCATCAAACTGTAACACTTCAGAAAGAAAAAGCATTAGTCTGGTAAAGACAAATCAAGATTGTTCCTTCTTCTTTTTCCCCAGTGTTTGAAGAAAAGCCCAAATACCCTCCTAGTCACTCTCAAGCAGTCCTGCAAAATATGCCTCCAGAGGACTATTCCTACAAGCAGTCGATTATTAACTTGTTCAAAAATGTTCCATTTATACTTCTGCTGATCAGTTACGGTAAGTGGTGCTGTCTGGCTGCAGCTGGGCAGAACAGTTTCAGTGTGCTGAAAGCGCATCGAGTTTTAGTTGCTGTGGTGGTTGTTTGTGGGAGAGGGAGTGTCAGACTTTTCCAGCAGCCAGTGCTGGAAAATCCAACAGGATTCAAAATGCCGTTTGTAGGTCTGGTAAAGAGATCTTACCTGGCATATAAGAGGGTTTGCCTCTGATGTGAGCGTTGACTATCAGAAGAGTAACTCTTTCTGGTAGCAGATCTCCGTGGCTACACCTGGAATGACTGAAGCTCTTCTTTTGGTACTGCAGGTATTATGACTGGGGCATTTTATTCTGTCTCCACGTTATTAAACCAGATGATAGTAACTCATTATGAGGTAAGTTTCTTGGATCTTCTTTGTTTGTTTGTTTGTTTTTTCTACTGTACTTTTGCAGAGGTGATGTTTATTATTGTGTAGGTGCTATGTGTGCTCAGACATTTGGTTTCCTTTATACCCCACTACAGTTTCTTGCACCATGCAGCTATGGGAGTCATAGGAATGTTTGTTTGCGCTTATGACTGCCAAGAGGTCTGAACTTGACTCTGAGTGGTATTAATGAGCACCATATAAATATTTGTTGAAAGGGAGAAGAAGTGAACGCTGGGAGAATTGGCTTGACACTGGTGGTGGCAGGAATGGTGGGTTCGATTATTTGTGGTTTGTGGCTGGATTACACTAAAACATACAAGTAAGTGTGGGTAGGCATGTATGGGGTTAGGGGTAGGAGAGCGGTGCAGTTGCATTAGAAAAATACTGCAATGTAAGGGCTGAAGTGAACTGAGGATAAAATGCAGTTCATCCCTGATCTTTTAGCGGCCTTGCTGGAGGCTGGTTTCTGATGCTACAGCAAAAGATGGAGACTCTTATTGGTTCTTGGCCAAAAGAAATGAGAAAGGAGAATGCGAAGATGCGCAAGGGTTTTGCATCTACTCCTGTCTCTGCAGGGGTGTGAGGCTAACAAGGAAAGCGCTGTATGTCCCGTATACAGTGGCCAGGTGGCCCAGGGAGTTCCTTCTCCTGGAAAAGCATAAAGACTCTAAAGCTACTCTGCTTTGTTTTGTAAAATGGACAGCTGATGGATTCTCATTTTTTTGTACTACTCCTGGGCCTATTAGTAAGCGTAACATTTGCATTAATTCAGGGGATGACCATGGAGCAGAAATCTCCTCTGGGGTAGGAGCTCCTGGGCCCATCACCTGTGGTGTGGTGCCCACCAGGAGTGGCCAGTGCCCTGGAGCGCTGCTTGTGGGGGGCAAGTTCTCCCCTGTGATGCTTAGTGCATTATGTGCCAGAGCTCTAGAAGCCTAATGGGTGTTAATGCTGTAGATTTGCTTTATTTCTGCATGTGTTTTGGCTTGTAAATAAGAGATAAGTGCTTTAATATTTTGGATGATGTCCCTTATTCCAGATTTAAAATAAGTAGAACATTGTAATGAGACTTGTTTGACTTGCCTTTTAGACTGATTTTTATTGCTAATAGTGTTCAGTTTGGCTGCCCGTGTATTGATCTTTGTATAACGGGCAGCGCTGCAGAATGGCCAAGAGGTACAACATAGCGGAGAACTAAAATAGTCTTGAGGTAACACTGTCTGCTGTGATTGTCCACTCTTTGAGAGTCTGATAAGGTCTCTTAGCCTTGAGTGCTGCAGCTGTGTAACCGAGGCAATAACGAGTTTGGGAAGGGGTACGTTCTCACTGCATGATATTTGATGTTTGAGCGAGAATTACATGAAGCAAATTTCATAGCTGTACAATGTCAGTTGCTAGAGAGTAAGTAATGTTTGTTACTTTTCTGTGCTTCAGCAATGTGCTATGACCTTATGTTAACAATGTTGATTTAATGTTTTTTTCGGTTGGGTTGCAGGCAAACTACTTTGATCGTCTACATTCTCTCTTTCATTGGGTTGCTGGTATTTACTTTCACCCTGGACCTCGGATACCTTATAATAGTGTTCGTGACTGGAGGAGTACTTGGGTGAGCAATTAAAGAGGACTAGAAGACTTACTGCAGTTCTGTTCAGAAACAATATTTAACTGTTGTAACTAAATGATTCTACTGTATAGTCTGTTGCCATGCTCTCAACCTATGCCTATAGATCACAGTACAGATACGGTTAAGGAGAGATTCGCCTTCTGTTACGTCAGAGTAAATCTAAAGTGACTCACTTTTCAGTGAATTTCATTTAACATTTTTATGAACCTAACAGAAGTCTGTATGTGGACAGTTTGTTTTGTTCCAATTCCAAAAGCTGTCTGCAGTGAAGCTGAATCTTTCTGTTGACCAGTGGACAAGCGATTAGAGTTTAACTGAGCAAATCTAGGAAGACTGGCTTCTGTGCATTTTGATTAATCTATATTTTGATAGTCCAAATGATGTGCTGGGTGCTTTGTTCGCTCAGAAGAGCAGGAGCGCTTCTCATAGATACATAATCTAAAAGCCCCAAAAGGTGCTGTGTCCAGACGGCAGTCGAGGTAAAGCCAGAAATGTCTTGAGAGTTTCAGTTTAAAAACCAATCAATCAACCTCCACTGCCTTTCCAGTTCCCTGTCGGTCCCCTCAGCTTCTTCCGCAGCAGCTTCTAGCAGCTTTTTCAGGGTCTAGTGTCACTCCCTGCTGATGTCCTCTTTGTCCTGCAGCATGGGTGTTTGGGTTGATCAAATGATGATGTTCATGTATGTCTTTCATTTGAAAGTAATTGGCTTCAGTTATGGATTGGCTTGTGGACTGGGCAGAGAAGGTTGTTTCATACATATGGAGTGGAGTGCAGGTTATTGGAAACAGGATGAATTTGTTAAAACATCTTTGTCCTAAAAAGAGAGGTATATGGCTAAAATTGTTGGATGAGGTCGGGGGAACGAGGCAGGCAAAGCAAGTATTGAATCATGATAGGTCTTGTAAACAGACAGTTGAGAATACCAGCTAATTCATAATACCATGTGTTTAGATTTGATTTTCTTAGCCATAGTAGTAGATGAAGGCCACACCTGTCATTCTCTTACTTTCCTCTTCAACAGGTTCTTCATGACTGGCTATCTGCCACTTGGGTTTGAATTTGCTGTGGAAATTACATACCCAGAGTCTGAAGGCACTTCCTCAGGCCTCCTTAATGCATCAGCACAGGTTGTATAATTTTATTTCTTCAAGTGAAGTAGTGTTCAGGAAGGCCACTCTGCTCAAATTTAAGAAGGCTTGCTTAGACTTGGCTGCTAAGTTTCTGTTGTGTTGCTGTAGTCTTATTTTTCTAAATTGGGTTTTTACAAGGTGTGACCTGAAACTTTGCAAGGTAAAGTGATGACTCTTTTCTGTATGATCCTGATGAAGTGACTTGTTTGTTTATAGATATTTGGAATTGTTTTTACACTTGTTCAAGGCAAACTCACAACAGACTACAGTCCTCGTGCAGGAAACCTCTTTCTTTGTGCTTGGATTTTTGTGGGCATTATCTTAACAGGTAATTAATCAGAAATGTAAGTAATGATTTCTCCTTAATGTAAAAATGTGGAGGGGTTTTTTTTTGAAAGTGAATTTCTGAGTAGTTTTAAATGTCTCAGACATCTAGGATTTAAATATGTGACTTCCTGTCTGGGCTCAGGACAGGTGTTGTAAGTGCAGGGGTTTGGAGGTTTTTTTTGCTTTGTTTTTCACTTTAAATACTTGCTGTGCGCACCCCCTTTGTTTTAAAGATGAGGTTGCTAATATGTGGACAGCCATCTGTCATGCATTTCTTGAGCCATGTCTTGAATTGCAGGCAGATGTCTATCTCCACAGTAGGAGAGCAAATGTAAACAAATATATAAATGGAGACAGGTTGCAGTTTTCCAAATGCAAGCAACTGCTGATGTATTCCTAAACTGTACCAGTGACTTACACATGCTGGTACTTACAAATGTGCTGGAAGTGCCAAAACCACCAAGCTTTGCTTGATTTAAAACCATGGGTGCTTTGTGAGGAGCAAGTTAAAATTGTCAGTAAGTTGAAATTGCAAAAGAGTGAATACAGGTATTTTGAATAAGTGCTGAAAGCAGCTTCCGTGTGCTTGCACTATACAAACATTTCCCTTGAAATGCATGGCATTGCAAAGCTGTGAACTAGCTTTCTCTTTATTTTTTGTTTCAGCCTTAATAAAATCAGATTTGCGAAGACACAATGTGAATTCGGGGATTGTGAATTTGGATGTTAAAGCTGTAAGTGGTGACTCTTTTACCTTGATTGTATTACTGTACTTGAATGCTTGGCTTCTATTGGCATAATAGTATTAACAGCAAGAGTAGTTGACAAAAACTTGTGATGTGACTGTTTCCGTGCTGTTTTGGTACAACAGAGCCACATGGGATGCTGCCCTCGGATATCTGTTTCTCCCCTTAGCTCCTGTGAAAAAAACAAAAGACCCGTTCTCAGATTTTCCTGCATTTTAAGTGCCTAATATTAATCTCTGATTTTATTGCTTGAATCTTACTTTTTCATATTTGTAGGTAGCATTGTAAAATGTGAAGCCTTTTTGTGCATTAGGTTAGGAGGCTGTGCTATAGACTACATATTTTGTTTGAAATACCTGCAGTTCCTTTAAGTGACATCAGTGTCTGATGAACAGAAGTGATGCTGCAGTTTCTGTACTGTGCTGCATGAAGAGCTGAGTCCATTCTTCTGCTGAGCACGCTCTCTATTTAAATGAAGAGTGAGCATAGCTCTTTCTGCTGTTCGGGAGGTCCCAAGACCACGTTTCAGCAGCTTTTCCAAATTATCACAGTCACTAGTAGAAAAAAGGCTGACATTGGAAACTTTTTTCAGTGCTGTGGGATTTTTGATCATTTGGATCAAGATAATGAAGCAGCTTTTTGGAGTCAGATATTGCAAGATCCTCTGTCACGCTTCTTTTTATGCGTAGGTGTCTTGCGTGTGTAGCAGCTTTTGATAATCTGTGGTCAGGTGCATGCTATTGGTGTCTGCCTGAGGTTCAGAAACTTCCAAGCTGGTGCTGTGTGAGCTAACCTGAACCTGAAACCTGTGCAGCTGTGTGCACAGTGTGGCACCCTGTGGGTTTACCAGCCTCGGTCGGGGCGATCTCAGGGGGTACATGCTGACTGGAGACAGGGGTCCATGACTGTTCTGTTTTCCGTTATCACCTTGTTAATTAGCCTAGGTTGTTGCACAATTTCATTTGTATTAGCCAGAATATAAAAAAGCCTGGAGTCTGCGCTCTGTTATTACCATAAATAATTGAGAGCTGCTGGTGTCAATAAGGTACAATAGCACTTTGATTCCAAACCTTGATCATCAAGATTCTACTGTATTTGAACGTAATGGAGAAAAAAAATTGAGAATTAATCTCCGTGTGTTATACTGAGAAACTAAATTCTATGGGTTTTGGTTTGTTTTTTTGTTTTTTTTTAATTACAGAGAGAAAGGAAAACAGGACTTTCTAAAAATTTGTAATTTGGCTAATTAACTACATACACCATTGGAGTAAAACCTGACAATTACCCAAGAATACTGAGGTTAGGAATGGCTTCTGCTGTGTAACAGCTTAATTTCTGCCTTTTTTCCCCCTCTCCAGGTACCAGTTGACAGTCCTGTAGAACCTGAAAATACTACGTTAAAAATTCAGTCGGCTTTATAAAACTGAAAGAAGATGACCTGCAAATGCACAAGTTTGGTTGGATGCCGAACAATATTACTTAGTGTAATCACTGGATTTGTGTGTATGAGTAGTAAAATGTGTTTGGTGGTATTGGTGATAGTTGTGCGGTGGAAACTATGAAGATGCTCAGTTCATTTTGCCCAAGATGCAAATAACTCACCTTTGTATGGAATATTTATTTTAACAGTTCTCAAGTTTTGCAGGTTCATTAGTAAAGAACTGTGTGAATACCCTCCACGTTAGGCAGACATGTACATTCAGGATGTGTGCTTGAAAAAATACGGAATCCTGAAGTACAGTCGTCCTGATCAGAAGAGTCTAATCTTCTTTTTCCCAAAGAATTGAGAGGTAGTTAATTTGTTGTTCAGTCTTTGCTAGTGTATTTGAAAAGTCAGAGAGTAGGCAGCTGCACAGCTGGAGGATGTTCGCAGGTTCCTTTTTTTAAAGTGTATCCGTATTTTTAATATAAGCCAACGGTTTCTTCTGGGAAACTGTCTATAGCACAATACTGAAAACAAGAGATGACTGCAAATGTATGTGTTTCATACTGGCATCTGACATTTCTTTTGCCTTGAAACTTCTTGATAGATATCAGAAGGCAGATAAGAGAAAACACTGTCTTGTAGATTCATTGTAACGCTTCTGAGGAGATTTAAGAGTTTCCCACTAGATAAATCAAAGAAAAAACATTTCTTATTAAAGACAGTAAAAAGGAGGAGAAAGGCCTTTGATATCTCTCCTGTGAAGTATTTATAGGCAATGGAACACTACCACACAGGTTGCTTCCACGGAGTATTTTGAGTGCATTCTCAGTTAAAGTGAGAGGAGTACGTGTTTACAAAGAGCTGGTGCCTTTACTTTGTAAAGAAGATCCTTGCCTCATCTTGAGTTTAATCAGTGCTGCTGAAGAAATTCCATTTTGTGTGTTAAACCTCCTCTGAATATTTGTGGAGTATCAGAAAATGTGTTCTATCCTTTTTTGCATTTATTTCTCTGCGTCATGAATTGTATCATTTGTCTTGTGAAATTGTTGTGCTCGTATAACTTAAATCATGTCTTTTGCAGTTTGTTAAAAGCTGTAAAGATGACTGAAAGGAAAACAGCGATGATTCACTTTCTGGTGAAATGTTTGCTGTTTATGTCACGCATCTTAGCTACAAAACGAGCGGACTTCATTAACATTCACCTTGTGTCATTACATTTATCTGAATTTGGGATGTGGATTTCTCATGGCAGTGCTGCTGAAAATATTCCCCTTTACCTTGTGCTCTGTCTACACACCTACAGAACTGATAGCACTACAATAATATTGAGGCCCTACTATTACTGGAAAGTCAGGCCTGAGTTAGCAGATGTTTTGCAAACTTTTAAGCTTTAGCAGCCTGTAAGTTGAGCCTGCAGATTCAGTACCATCGGCGATGCGGTCTCTTTGAGTTCCCACGGAGGTAGTGCCATCCAGAAGGTGGAACCCTACTCGAAGTTTTCCACGGATTGTTACGGTTGGATATGGGGAACTTTTTAACTCCAAGATAATCTTTCAGGATGATAAGTATCATTAAATGCTTTTCTTTTTCTTGTTTCACTGTAGATTTAGAGAATCCTTTTATAGAAAAAGGACCCTGTAAACGTAGCTTTCTAGACTTAGCTCCTAAACTTGATGATCTTGATTTAACATTTTGTATGATAAATGCTTCAGACATGGGCGGACTGAATGGCAGTATACAGACCAGAATAAGCTAGGCGTGCTTAGAACACTCGCCTTTCCAAAAAGGGTCCACGTCTCTTTGCCATGTCCAGTGCTAGAGAGAAAATGGGCACACCTTGCTGCTCCTGGGGAGGCGAGCTCTACAGGAAGAGTCCTCTGGTGAGGTAGCTGAAAACAGGAAAAGTAACTCGTAGATATTCAAATGGCGGGCGAGAGTATAGGAGTGGAAGTAGAGATGCTTTCATTATGTCAGTTCTTTACCTGTAATGACTTGCTGTGATACAAGCTGCCCCATCAAGGGATGTACATGTTTTCAGCCGGAGTGAGCAAAGTGAATGTTCCTGCCTTTTGATATCTGTGGGTGGCTTTTCCCTTTGGAAAAATGATAATAATGTGTGCCAAAATGTATACGTTCTTCCACAAGGTACAGATTCAGTAAATATTTGTGTTCATGGCCCGTGGTTGCTTTGTACTTCTGGTGTTGCAAAATTTGAACAAGATAAAATCTTTATGGTTTTGGGGAAGTGTTTTCAAATGCCCAATAGAAAGTCTTTGGTAGTATCTGGAATGCTTTCTGGAATGTCCAGTGCACGCTGTTCAAATTCAGAGATTGAGCTTTTTCTTCCTCCTTAAAATTTATTTTTTAATTTCTTTCATCACTATTAGTTTCCAGTTTCTTTAGTTATGTTCAGCTCGTTACTGAAAAAATATTCTAGCCCTTCTGGCTCCTTGTATTTTTTATCTGCTGCCAAATTACTTGGCTACCCTCTGAAAAGGTCCAAACAAGATTTTGGCGTGCTGGAAACCCTGCTGGCTCCCTGGAAAGAAAATATTCATGATAATGAAGGCTTAATTACATCCTGGATTTAATACTCTCCCTCTAAAAGAAGCTTAAAAGTTGGAAACCTGTGAGTTATCTCCAGGCAACGATAAAGCATTTAAATAAAAGGCTCGGCAGCAAAATAAAGAGCAAATAAAGAACAAACCAGTATTTTATAGAATCATCTTACCATCTGTCTGTCAAGAAACTAAGGTTCTAGCTCATGGCAGAAATAAGTTTGGGGTAGTTGGGGCTTTGGTCTTTTTTCTTTTAATTTTTGTTTTTAAACAAACAACATCCACCCAATCAAACATCCATCTGAAACTGGAAATAGCGTTTCCGACTCTCTTAGCCTTGAGATTCTGGCTCAGCCCTCCACTGCAAGTAGAGGTGGGCGCTAAAAATCGTAACTGCTTAAAGAGGTAATGGCTTAATGAATGGAATTACACGTCAGCTATGAGAGGATGGAGTGGGAAATCAAGTGAGGAGAGGCATCACAGTCCCATGCATCAGCTTTTGCTTTTCAATATGCTTTTCTTTTAAGTGCTTTGGGAGAACTCTGGAGGATGCTGGAGAACTGATGTAATGGGGGCAGCCCCCTTGCTTACACTTACCAAGTTTCCAGGGGCCCACCAGCATGTGGAGTGGCTAACTTTCAGCTACAAGATTCACAGATTAGCCTTTAAAACATCTTTCTTTGGTTCTCCCAAACCATGTTAAACTCTTGTCAACTTCAGTGGGAGAGACCCAGAGAACATGGACTGATTTTTATTTAGGATTCCTAACATGGCCTTAAAACCCTTGTTTCTGTTGGCTGGGTGTAAAAATATCAGACCTGTATGGCGTAGTCTGGGATTGCTGTGATGGGGACCTTTTTTCTTCAGCTTGGTAGACAAGTCCTTCAGAGCGTTTTTTTTTGTAGATGGGTGCTTTCCTTGAATAACATCTCTTTCTGCTGCTGAATGCTAATGTTTTACAAGGAGGAAAGAACAAGGGAAGAAGTGGGAGTAATACATACGAATCATTTTGGGTTAATAGGGCTTTCCTAACTCCATCCTCTTGGTCATCTCTTTTGTTCAGGACAGTCTGTTGTTTCAGAGATAATCACTGGAGTGTGTTATTAGAGCTGCCAGCCCATGCTGCCTGATGAAAAAATCCTTTCTGAGAAATCTTTGGACTATCTTGTGCGTCTACAACCATGTGAAACTGGGTTAAGCTGTAAGCATTTATTGCTTTCATTTTCTGTCCTGTGAACTCATGAGTTTTCATGTGTGAATGGGAACGTGTGACCTTTTCGTCTGCTGCCTTTCAGTATGTGTATGCGCCACCTGCGTAAGTGTTACAGGCTACTAATGATTCATAGACCACAAGCCAAGTTATTGTATCCCATGTGATTTCCCCACCACCACCGTTTGGTCTGAAGTCTGTGAAGAGGGAGAAGTGGTGTTAATGCATGAACTAGCATGAATTAAGCAAAAAATATTCCTAAGAGAAATCTATTTCCATGTAAGACCCATGTTATTTACTGCTCGCGTCTTTGTTCTTCTCATGAAGATGGTGAAGATTTTTACTGTAATAGTTCGGTTTTGTTAGTGTCCCATTCTTTGTTTCAAGAGAAAATTAAAAATTCCTTATGAATATTCTCTGATTGCAATATTGTACATATGTATGGGTGGCATCATTCCTTACCGTTATATGTTACTAATAAAGTGTACAACATGTGACTTGATTGGAGTCAAGATTACCATTTTTGACAGCTGCTGATACAGCTGATGGTCTAAAAACGATTTGTGTTTTTCCTTAAAAGATGCAATTTAATGTAGGAAAATTTTATAAGTGAATGATAATACTGTGTCATTAATAAACGTGCATGCACATGTATATGCAGAGTGCATGGATGCAGGGTACATAAATGTGTTATACACAGGAGTACTGGGTTACGGAGACATTTTCTCAGGGCATGGAATTAAAATATTAGCATCAGTAGTTGAGCTGCATTGCTCTAGCACAGTGATTTGTCCTCCTTTGCTTTGGAAAATGTCTGTGAGGAAAAGAAAATGCAGTTAATGCCTAAAGCAGAGCTATCCAGTGTCATCTCCTTAAGGGTAGTGCAAATATTATCTTAGTAGAGCACTCGGCTGTAGAGACAGTATCTAGGGAGAGAGGGTAGAATAACTTCTTAGAGAGGACAGAGTGAGACATTGCATTCAGTTATGGCCCAACTTTTGTCTCTAAAGCTAGAGCTGGCTTCAGTGGGAGCACAGTGGGACGTTTGTGAACCCTCTGCAGGGCTTCTGGCGCTTACACTCGGGTGTTTGGTGTTGATCTCCAGCACATCAGCTGTGAGCCGGGTGAGTTTGAGGAACCTGCTTCAAAGGAAGTAGAGCCACTGTAAGAAAACATTTTGGGTTGTTTGTGTTTTTTTTTTTTAATCTCCCTTCTCTACAAAACTGG